ATGACAAAAAGCAAGCCTTTAAACGACTCAAAACAAAAGTGCCTTCAAAATAATGTGCTTATGTTTATAGGGCTTTGAGTTAAAACTAAAATACTTGGTGGGAAAAAAAAAATTGAAGCAATGAAGCCTGTATTTTGTTTTGTTCAGGACACGGTGGAGACGCTGCTCCGCCATCAAGCCGATGTTAACGCCAGGGACAAAAACTGGCAGACGCCACTCCATGTGGCAGCTGCTAACAATGCTGTGCGCTGTGCTGAATACCTGGTGCCACTGCTGACCAATGTCAATGTCTCTGACCGGGCAGGCCGCACTAGCCTTCACCATGCTGCTTTTAACGGGCACAAAGAGGTACACAGTCTTGTGTGTTTGTTTTTTCACATTTTCTTATGGCTCTCATTAGGGAGTTTTTTAAACCTCTTCTCCCTTGTCTTTTGTATCAGAGTTATCAATAGGGTATTTCTCTCTCTCTCTCTCTCTCTCTCTCTCTCTCTCTCTCTCTCTCTCTCTCTCTCTCTCTCTCTCTCTCTCTGTCTCTCTCTCTATCTCATTCCTTTTCCCCTCTCTGTCTCTTCCTTTTTCTATTCTGATACCAAATTGGTGTTTTTTGTGATTAAATTAGTCTACTCTAAATTTCTAAGTGAAAAAAACCCAAAAACTTAACCATGACAGTCACTTCTGGTGTAATTTATACAGTGAAACTCGCATATAACAAATTCCTTGGGCCCGACCTTAAAGTTTGTGAATCTGAGTATTCCATAAAAGAAAGTTGTAACTAAAGTGAAGCCTTTAAAATCGGTAATAATAGGGACATCTGTTCTGAATGTGCCGACGTGCGAGAAAAAGGAAAAAGGACTAATGGTGCCCCAAAGTGCTTGCATATATGAATGATTGCTTCTTTTGACAAAATAGGGTTAGGCTTGGTTCCAAACAAGAATGATTTTCTTTTCCTTGCTGGTAAACCAAACTTGTCCAAGGCTAACCTTGAAAACTAAACAGCTGAGATGCTGTAGTATACATTATGTGTTAGTTTAGTTTAAAAAAAGAGGCATTCTTTTCTTTCTTTGATGCCGTACTTAAGGTGGAAAGTGTTTTTTAGTGGCATCTACCCTGATGCAGGGTGAGAGAAGCTTTGATGATGATGATGCCGTACTATTGTGGTAGTTACCTCTATACGTGTTATTTTCTTCCTTAGATGGTGAGCCTGTTGATCGACAAAGGTGCTACCATCAATGCCTATGACAAAAAGGACCGGCGGGCCATCCACTGGGCTGCATACATGGGCCATGTGGAGGTGGTCAAGATTCTGGTGGATCACGGTGCCGAGCTCAACTGCAGGGACAAAATGGTGAGTGTTCTGTGGTAAAAGGTGGGGAAGGAGGGGGGCTAGGGTTAGAGAGATTGTGGAAAGAGAGGAGAGGGTTGCCAGCTGGGTTGGTGGGTCATGGGAGTAGGAAAAGATTATTGTGGAATCTTTTTCGTTCTGAAAATGCTTGTTAACTGCATGATTATGTTCTCTTCTTCATGCTTATGTTCAAGACTTCAGTGAGATAAAAATCCTGGAGTCATTTGGAAGTGAATGAGACAAGCTTATGGCTCACTTACTCTGTCATTGTGATCAAATGGTGTTCACTCTGATATTGTGTATTGGGGTTTGCGTGGGGGAGTGTGTGTGTTTATTTGTGTGTATGTTTGTTTGTGTTTGTTTGGGAGAGAGGGAGAGAGAGTTTCATAATCTTTAAAATTAAAGAGATGTCATGGAAGATTCTTTTTAAAATTTAAACACACGTTTTATTCCTGAAATTTATTTTCAAATGGAGTATGCTATCCAGTCCCAGGTATGTTTTTTTGGGAGAAGGGATGAACGAATAAATTTGTATTCTTCGTCATTTTTTAATTCTTATTGCGTGTACAGCTTTATTTGTTATGTGTTCTGTCCCCAGATGTTCACACCTCTGCACACTGCCGCGGCTAGCGGCCAGATTTCTGTTGTTCGGCTTTTACTCGAGTTGGGGGTCGAGGTGGATGCAGTCAATATCCACGGCAACACGCCTCTACACATTGCATGTCTCAATGGACAGGATGTAGTGGTCAGCAAGTTGTTAGAGTATTCGGCAGCAGTGAACTCCATCAATAATAAGGGCATGGTAAGAACCCTGGTGCTACTCTGTGTGTCTTTGTGTTGCACTGAACGGTCAGAATTGGATTGGAGCCTCATTAATATGAGGGTATTTGGTGGACGCTTTGGAATGGGCTGCTTCTTCTACTTCTGTTCAGTTTTTTGTAATTCTATTCTGTTTTTATTGGCCTATAGATGTTATTGTGCAACCTGTCACCTTTCACCTGGCGGGTGGTTGGAGAGCGCTACTGGTAGGTCCTACCTCATTACTTTTCCTCTGTTGTTTCTATCTGTCTGTCTTACTGTTTCTCATCACTAAATGACCATTAGTATGTCGATGAGCTTCTCCTTCCTCAAACAAACTAACAAACCTTTCACCTATCACCATAACCATGTTTTTATGTTGGTGCCCCACTCCTTTCCACAACAGGCTTCTATCTTCCCTAGCCTCTGCTTCAATGTATTCTTAAAAAACCATTTCTGAATTTCCTGTTTTCCATGTATGATGTAGGAGGTCTTCCCTTATTTGTCCTTGCCTCTATTTTGCCCTGCAACACAGTTGTCATTAGGTCCGCTTTTATGTTTCTGTTTGCATTACGGAGATATTTTAGTCTCCTTTTGCTGATTGTAGAAAGCATGCCACTCTGCATCGTGCAAAATAAATTGCCTAAATACAGTCGAACCTATGCTGACGAACACCTGCCCAAGACAACCACCTGTACAGACGGCCACTTCCCACTTTCCCCCTTGCGTTAAAAAAATATGTGGTTGGGTTGTCAGTGACAGATTTGACTAATTTGACAACAGCATGTTAAGAGCTGAGTGTGAAAATTTTAATTTTGATTTTTGCTAATGGAGCTTGTGGGATATAAAATATAGGAGTTTGTGATTGAATATGAATTTGTGACGACCATTGATTAATTTTTTAGAAAGTTTCAGAATAGATGTATGTGATTTTTGTGACAATATGAATATGTGTGATGAAATGTGGGTTTTTGTCAGTGAATATGTCTTAGAATTTTTATATTAAGGTGTTAGAATTTTATGAGTGTATATGAAGTTTTCTGTTTCCTTGCAACTGACCAGAAAGTAATTAAAACGATGACTTGAGCTTGTGTGGGCATTCTGTGGGATTTGGAGTTTTGTTGAATTGTGTGTTTTTTAAAGTGCATCAGTCCGAGTTGGAAAATGTTTGTGTCTAACGTAGAACTATCAACTATTTTTGCAGGAATATATTGTCATGGCATCAGTATTTTTTGGTCTCTATTTTTGTCTCCCTTTTTCCCCACTGAGCATATCTTTATGAAGTATGTCAAAATGTTGAGATCAGGATAGGACACAATTTAATTAAAGTACAGTGGACTGGGGATCCATGAAACATCGAAGTAAGGAAAGGAGGTCAAGCTTTTGTTGGGGTATAGGAACAGGAGCATTCTGAAAAAAACATTGAATGGTTTTTTTGCAGGTCTGAATTCAGGTTAGTCTGAAGTGAAGCGATTTGTATTGTGGTTCCAGTTTACGTGTTAAAAATACATGGGTTTTAATTTTTTTTTTTTACTCATCATGCTGGTCCACCAAATATTTTCTCAATTGGTCTTTTCATTTTTATCTCCTCCAGACACCTCTTCATTTCGCTTCTGCATCCACACATGGGAGCATATGTCTGGAAATTCTTGTATCTGAAGGAGCAAATACCAAAGCTCAGGTAAGTGTCTCTGACCCAGTGTGAAATGAGAAGTTGGTTCCTTCCTCCTTTCTCATTTCTCAAGTTTTTTTAAGGAATATACCTAATGGGTACTTCCAGGCTGAGGAGGGAGAGTATTTTATTGATTTGCCTGGAAGAAAAGGAAATAAGACATTGGATCGGGGAACAGACTAGACTGGTCATGTATGGATAAGAAATGTTCAGTTTGACATTGATTCTCTCCTGTGTTTGGACAAACTGATATTGATATCATTGGCTTTCAAGAGGATCCTGCTGGCATACTGAGTGTGGACAGGATCTGTGAAGTACTTGGGGAGATTTCTCAAATTTATTCAAATATTGGAAAGTATATGTTTTGCATGATAGCTATTCAATGAACGATGCTGTTGGAAAATTAGTTTACAGATTTAGCTTTGGAATGTTTATAAAAAAAGAAACTGGAAAACACTTTTTATTCTTCCAATTGGGGATCATTTAGCTAATAGTATTGTGAATTATGAATACACAAAATAGTTTAGATGTTATGCCAAGTCATTTCATACACAATTTCAGACAAAAAATAAGCCTTCATTTCTTGTACTTAGAGTGCAGCGTCCCAAATTTGAGTGAGATTTATCGTGTCTTGCTTTAGGACATACTCCAGTGGCTACTCACATTATCATTAATGTTGTGTCAAATATATTTTTTATCATTTGTGAACTGAAGCTCATTGACCATTTGACCACCAGAGCCACACAGGAATGGATGAACTATTTGTAGATTCTCTACTCTGGTTTTGGTTCCGGTGTGGATTTTGTTATTTTGATTTTTTTTTATGTGTGTGTGTGGTATACGTACCACATTTGGAGAAAAAAAAAATTTGTAGAAGGCAGTTTTATTATGTTGTGGAAAATAATAATTTAAGAAAGAACTAAATAATTGTTTTCATGATGATGATGATAATCAAATAAGAGTTTACTTACTACAAAATGATGTATAGTACACACACACTCACTCAAGCACACACACTAACACTTGTGCACTCCAGTACTCTTCTCGAAGTCTGGTCACTGATTTAATACAAACAGCAAACATCAGATTTTTAGTGTGTAGATGAACACTCTTCTTATTATAGGAAGCTAATATAACAGCCTTGCCCCACTAGCTTGTGGAGCTCAATCCGTGGAATTTGTTAGTAGTGGGATAAAAAAAAAAATGTGTCTCGTCGCAATGAAATCAGGCGCTCGTCAGTATTTTAACACATGGAGTTAGTCGTATGATCTTAAAGCTTGTTTATTTATCATGTTTACTGTGAAAAAAATACCCATCTGTCTTAAATAGAAGTCAAGATACCGTCAAACCTGTGTAAGACGGAATTGCAAAGGAGCCAGAAAAAAATTCCGTCTGAACCATTTTCTGTCTTAGATAGGGGATTCAGGGGAGAGATGGACGGGGGTTTCAAAGGCCCAGCTGGTGGGATCAAGGGTCACTTGTCCGATCGGCAAGCAATGGTCAAAACTTCATCCCTCTCAGTTGCTATCCTGTCTGATAATGACATGAGTCAGTCTTACTTATCCAATTACCACCAGTGCTTGCCTTTCATAGGACCTCTGATCTATTAAAAACAAACGTTTGAACATCTCCTTTGCTTCCACCCTTAGCCCCATCCATTGGCGTAACAAGCACAGTCAACCAATGCCACCCCTCACTGCTATCATTTAACAACGATTCGAGGAACTCTTTTCTCGGCTGGCCGTATGATCAGGGCGGCAGGCATTGGTCAATCTAATTTCACATCTCTGGCTTCTGGCTACCCAGGAAAGTTTCCGTAGTGGCTCACAACTCGAGCACTCGCAAGGGCAGTCGTGAGATTTCACACCCACACTACCATGATCATTTGCATCACTCAGGGCTCACATGATGGGGCAACATCTACCCCCAAATTGTACCCCTACTCTCCTTCCTCGCCCAGCAAAATGGCCATAGCGTTAAGTTTAGAGCCGGCGGAACCAAACTTGCCAGTTTTGTTTTAAATCAGGGCTGAGCGGGCAAAGCATTTTCTGTCTTAGACAGGTGAAACCCTTGGAAGGGAGCGGATTTTTCTTTTTGTTTCCGCGTTGGACAGGTTTCCGTTTTTTACAGGTAATTAAAGAGGAATGTGTAAAGGGGGGAGCGGGGACGTTCCATTAAGACAGGTTTCCGTTTTATACAGGTTTCTGTTAAGGCAGGTTCAACTGTATTTGCAATTGAAGGAGGTGGGGCTTGCATGGCTTCAGAGGTAAAATTATAAAGACAATAGCTGCCAACGTTAGGTGACTTCCAAGGCTTGAGAGTCCTTGGAAACTACAGAATTACATTTTTTTGTGCTCTTTATTGTTTTTCTATAATGTCCGCACATAAATGTGTTTTCAAATGGACACCAAAGGTGTTGAGCGAAAAAATATAAAAAATCAACAAAAATTGTCAAGTGAGCAGAAAAATGCTCGCTTCTTTGATTTTAGTATTCTGATGAGCGCCTGATTTCCCTATGCCACCTTACATAAATTTTTTAGGTAGAATGATAGCTGGAAACCATTTAGCTCTGTGAGGAAAGTAGGAAAAGCTAACACCCCCCCCCCCCCCCCCCCCCCCAGTTCTGACACATGAGTTCTTGCTGTCATGCTGCTGATTAATCTGTCTGTGATGTAAAGGTTCTGTTTAGTACAGAAATTTGTTTTTTTGTGTGTGTTTTATGCGAGGGTGTTTGGGGGCGGGGGTGTCTGATTATGGGTTTTTAATCAGTCTTGTTTTTAGAATAGTAGCTATGTATCAAATGTATGCACTCTCAGCCATCCATTTCTTGGCTCACTTGTTACACACTTGTTTGTATGGCATGAGATGCTAAGTACACACCAGCTGATGTGAACTTTGCCATAAAATAAAAATAGGCAGCGAATCATCTATTGCGAGTTGATGAAGGGCACCACCGCTAGGTCCAACTTCTTTATCTTTCCCTCTGTTGTTTCAGTCTATCTTGCGTCTTCCTTGCACAAAATGACTGTTATTGTGGGGATGTTCTTCTCTTTACTCAAACTCAAATCATCTGTTGTTTATTCTACATGTGCATATTGTCTCTTCAAAGTGAAAAAAGATTAAGTACGCTGGTTCTTACCAGACTAAAATGTTGATAGCACAGTTAAACAAGTACTCTAATGGAACACAGCAGTCTTCAAAGTTGACTGAACAGGAATGCCTCAGCGTCTTAAAAGGTGTTTTTTTGCATGCTGGAGAAAGGGATGAATCAGTTTGGGAGGTTGTAGCTGTTGAAAGGACACACTGTTGTTGCCTTGCCATTGTTATCTTTGTTGTTGCTTTTAAAACTACTTTTTAGTTGCTTACTACATATTGCTTTGATGCTTATATAGTATTCAGTGTTAAAAGTGGAATCTTGCCTTTTTTTGTGGTTATGGTTAAATGTCTGAATTGCATCAGTTTAATGTCAGACATTTTGTTGTGGTGTGACATATTTGATGGAAACTGAGTTAAAACACTGTCTTCAGATGACCAGTGGGACTGCATATTTGTGGAAATGCACAAACCAGAGGAATATATACACATTCAGCAGCTGGGTTCTTTTATTTGGTTTGAAATGCTTTGTGAGAATTTATTGAAGATTTACAATATTATAATATGGAAAGTGTACAGCGGTCTGGCCACATTTCAATCACTGCTTCCTTTTGACGTCTCTATGGCTCGTCTTTAATCACTGCACTTTTGGTCTTTGTGTGTGATCTCTGCAATGTGTATGTGATGTGTTGATGTTGACAAATTGTATGCGGCCTTGTGTGTTTCAGGCTGTGATTGTATGTCATCACTTTGTGTCTTCCTCATCTTTTTTTTTTTTTTTTTAGATTTTTTAAATAAGAAGTACCCTTATACATTTGAATAACTTTCTGATTTGAGGTAATTTTTTTCTAACCTTAAATTTATTTTTTGTTTGCTTTCATCATATTGCCAGTGAAAAACTTTAAATTTTCACCTGTAACAGTGAAAGCGAACAAAATAATTTTGACAGTTCTTAGATCATGAATTTGTTTGTTTGCTCTCGCTCTGTTCATTTGGCCTTGAATTTTTTCATATGCAAAACCCGCCCTCCCTTCCAGGATGGGAAGAGCCCTGGGCTTGTGTTCCCACCAAATGGTAAAATCCACGGCTCCCGCTCACTGTCCAGTAGGTTCCGAATGCGTGTCTCCTGCATGCTGGATCCTTGTCCTTGCTTTAGTTTGATGTTGGATGTTCCTCTTTTAGTCCAGGGCTCCTCACCCCAAATTTCCAGCATGATAGAATAAAGAGAAACTAGTTCAATATTGGGGGGAAAAAACTACCTGTATGATAGAATGGGGATATGTCCTTACCTTAGTTGGAAAAAAAAAATCTTCCTTAGAGGTAGAGCTAGGAGACCCTAATAATTTGGGAGGCAAATATTCCTCTTAAATGAAATGAAGAAAGATCAACATTTCATTGGAAAAACAAAATTGCCTTGACTTTGAATGAGGAGAGAGCAATATCAGATTGGCTAACTAGTTTCAGATTTATGATTACACTTGGCGACGGTGTGAGTGAGGGACTCTAGTGCTGAAGCCCATCCACTGCATGTGTTTTGTGATGGTGGTGGTGTATACGTTAGCACGCCGTATTTAACACTTGTACCGAGTGTGCGCTTTTTCAGTGAGTTTGCCCGTTGACTTTACCTAGTCCTGCTGCTGATGAATCTATACGTTTTTTTTCTCATGGGTAAAGCCTTGAACCTTGACCTTGCCTCTCTAAGTAGACTGTGGCAATTGGAACATAGCTTTCGTTTGCATTGTTTATGAAATAGGAAAAGGCGCAGACTCTGACTACAGGAAAAGTGTTGATGATTGTACGTGAAGTTCCGTTGACCTCACTTTTCATCCTCTGGACTTTGTACACACACACACAGACATAAACACACACACACACACACTCCCACACACACACTCACACACACACACATACTCACACACACATACTCTAATACACAATCACCGAAATATACATTCTCTCACACATGCACACACACACTCACACACACACACACACACACACACACACACACACACACACACACACACACACACACACACACGTCAGGATTGAGACTTGTTGCATCGTTGCCTGTGGTTGCTATTTGTTGTCCAGCATGCAGTTTCTCCTGTTATGTTGTGTGCGCCATTTGTCGTGGTATGCAGTCATGACTTGCGAACTCAGTCTCTTATCACACTGTGGATATGTCTGTCTCTGACTTCTGCTCAAGTGTTAATGCATGTGTGTGGGCACTGATGGTCTCTAAATGGACGAGCAGATCTGTGGAAAGCATTTTAAGTGTAGTCTTTTACTTTCTTTATTTAAAAAAAACAAGTGTATGTCAGATTTTGTTTTCTCTGTTGACAAACCTTTCTAAAGCCACAAGTTCCACCTGAGTCACTGACATCTCCTTCACAGTCTTATTGCTGGGACATGTTGTTCATTATTGTCAGTTGTGAATGATAGCAGATTTGTGGGTGGTTGGCGGGTGCTCTGGTTTTGGTTTGCTTCTTCTTTCCTATCAAACATCTGTTGTCTTTATCTCCCCTCCTTCTTTTTTGTGTTTGTTACTCTCTTGTAACTCCTCTAATTTTCTGGCGTTCATATGACCTTATGTAGTCGCGAGCGCCATAAATATTTCACATGTTCATGGCTATTCAAAATAGACTGATGAAAGGAAAAGGGTTTATTGGAGACCTTGGGGTTTTGGGGTCTTTTCTGCTATCATGTTAGTCATTATTTTTGTGTTGACTGTTTGCTGATGCTGCTGAACTCTTCTGCTCTGTGGTTTGACATTTGAGAATGACGGTTGTCATCAATGTCGCATAGATTTCCATGGTATCATCACTGGTGCCACTCATCCTGTCACATGCAGAATCATTATTATTGTTACTGTTGTCATTCATCCTGTCTTGTTTAGTTATGACTGTTATTGTTGTTGTTGTCTGGCATCCTGTCATATGCAGTTGTTGTTACAGTTGTCAGTCATCCTGTCATGGTGTAGCTGTGGTGCTTTTTGTCATCCTGTCATAGGAAATTAGTTTTGTTGTTGTTGTTACGGTTGTCACGCCATCCTGCACATGTTTTGGATGCTCCTAAAAGAAGCAGAGCAGTCTCAGCCTAGCCATAGTCAAGGCCGTCAGCCGTTGTGTAATGTGGCTTAGGTGGGCTTTCAGCCTTTTTTGGAGTCTTGAGTATGATTAGAAATACAGGAAAATCAAAAAAGTCCTGTCAAAATCGAGGCAATGCACTGACAAAAGAAGTGCAAAGGAAAAGATTTAGTGGATTCTCCTTGGACAAACAACTTTTTGTGTAGCTTTGCTTTCTTATGAATGTGTATGTTGAAAATAGTGTCATCTGTTCATGTGTGTAATATGTGAGGCAGCGTGGTGAAATCAGGTGCTCGTCAGAATAATGAAATTGAAGAAAAGGGCATTTTTCTGCCAGTTTGGCAATTTTTTTTCTAATTTTTGTTTTTTGGCTCAACACCTTTTATGTCTGTTTAAAAACATATTTTTGTGTGGATTTTACCCTAAAACATTGATTAAATTAAAGGCACATCAAATATGAATTTTCATTTTTCAAGGACTCTCAAGCTTTGGAAATCACCAAACTTTGGCGCCCACTTTCTCGCTAATTTTACCTCTGAAACCACGCGCCCCCGATCTCTTTCAATTGCAAATATCTCGACTTCTATTCAAGATAAGCTTGTATTTTTTTCATCAAAAGATGGTTAAATGAGCAAGCTTTAAGATGATACGAATAACTCCAGATGCCCAAAAATTGACGAGCGCCTGATTCTGCCTCGTCGTGACAAATATGTTGTCTCAATTGCTGCTGTGATTCCTGGCTTTCAGAACAGAATTTGGGTTCCTTTCAAAGTACAGGGTTTTTGGGTGTTTGTTTTGTTTTCAGTGCTTGGTGATGTAAAGTTTGGAGTTAATGCCATTTTTTTTTAGCAAATAAAGAGTGTTAAATGTTTTACCTTTGAAAGTTATGTGTTTCAGACTCTTCAAAAAAGCCTCAATCCGTATCTGTATATTAATTAACCTGTTCATGATCTTCTCTGGACACTCTTTGGTTCTGCCGTGCAGGACAATTGACTTGTCAATATCTCATAGCTGTATGTTCATTTCTTTGTGGGAGGGAGGAGTTGGTTGTGAATTCAATTCATCATTCATAGTTTTGAAGCTTTTCCTCCTGGAACATAAGAGGAGTTTCTGTATGTTGATGTCAAGATAGAGGTCAGGACATATGGTCAGCCATTTCTTTGCACAAACTTGGAGGAATAGACTGTAACAGATTTCTGTTATATGGCGTCGTTACAGACCTATTTACATCCATTACTGTCCTGTCCACGCTCCACCTACACACAGCTAACGTCCTGCCCTATGCCCAGTTCCCATTGTCCTGACATCTAATCCACATCACGCTTTCATCTCCCTGGTTTATCTCATGTCCATCCAACCCTCATCTTCCTACCTCCATTCCCACCTACTTCCCATCTACGTGTAACCAGCATCCCACTTTCATCCAACCCACATCTGACCTTCTTCCTTTCCACATCCCTTCTGATTCCAACTAACACTTTATGGACATCTCATTTATCGCTGATCTGCTTTCTGTAACCTCCCTCCCCCTATCATGCTCTTCCTTCCTCCAAGTAATCCCTCTCCTCCCTCTTCTCCCCCGCCTTTCCCCTTCCCTCCCGTATCATCTTGTATTCCGCATGCCAAGCGTTATACTCAACTGTTATTTTTTCAGAGTGAAGATGGACGCTCAGCTCTCCATATGACTGCCCTGCATGGTAGATTTACCCGCGCTCAGAGCTTAATTGAGCATGGTGAGATGCACGTTTATTTTCCTTTTTTTACCCATCCCCTGCTTGAGTTTTGTTGTGAAGTGTGATATTATTTGCTGTGATTGGTCTTTTTATTTTATTGCTTGGTTTTGTATTCCCCCATTTTCGTCTGTAGTGTAACAACAGTACTGCATTTTGAAGATATGTTCATCTCTTTTACAAGTCAATAGACATGTTTTTTTTCCTCCAAATTTTCTGTCTTGATGAATTCATATGTTAAGTCCTTAACTATTAAGAATTTAGTTCAGGGTTGAGAATCATCTTTTCCAAAACTGACAGTACATTTTTTGATACAATATATTTCTCTTCTCATTAGAGGTCCAGTTCAGTTTTGATAAGTGTCCAGTTTTCAATCCTTGTACTGGTGACATTGACTTGGAGTTATGAAAAATTGTGTGAATTCTTTTTTATATGTGTATGTGTGTTCGTCGTGTGCGTGCGTGCACACATGTGTGCGCATGTCGTTTAGCTTTTTAAAAGTTTTTCTTCTTTAAGAAGCATATTATGGTTCTATTGGTTGTTCTTTGGATCTTGATTCCATTCCTATGGACCCAGTCTTATATCATGAAGTGCGCAAGGGAAAACAGGTTTACTGGACTTTCTGATATATTTCACGTTATTTTTTACAGTGATGAATAGTGTGTGTAACTTAATGTAAATTTAGTTGCAAAGCATACTGGGTACTCCTATGGGATGAGTGAGATTATTATTACAATAATGATCATTGGTATTAGTACCTCAATTATTAGGGTCCTCCTCCGCTTCCTCCCTTTTGAATTTTTAAAAAGTGAAGTATATGGTGACTATTTACTCCTTTAATTTCTGCATTGTGTCTGAAATGTGTTTGTTCATTGGTGCCAGGTTGTCTTGTAAACACGTGTGATCGGCTAGGGAACACGCCTTTGCACGTGGCAGCACGCTACGGCCATGAACTGCTCATCAACACTCTGCTTGAACACAGGGCTGACCCGATTCAGTGAGTTGTTGTTTGTCTGTATTTATGACTGTCCTTTTCATTTTATTTCTATTGTTAGATGTTTTATGGCCCAATCAACACATTTTAGCTCTGTCATGAGGCTGCTGCTTTGACCCAGCCACTATTTGTCTGTCTTTATGGACTTCTTAGCATTGTAGTTTTGTAGTAAATGTTTTATGCTCCTGTTGACACAATTTAGATCATTTATGAAACAGGCTGTTTCAACCCAGTCTGTCAGGGCCAAAGCAGAATGTATGTACTTCCCTGAAGAAAAATGGAGGTTCTTGATAACATGTCTTTCGATAAAGCTTTGCTTAGTTTTAGTAAGAGTGTGACGGCACTTGTAGCACACTAAGATCATATTAGCGCTGAAGATCAGAGGTGTTACAAAAGAGTAACAAACACAAAAAAGAAAGAGGAAAGATCAAGATAATAGATGTTTGATAGGAAAAAAGGGGTACCAGAGCACCGGCCACCCACAAGCTTTGGTTTAAATTTATGTAGTTATGTTGACGAAAAATAAAGAAAATAATATAAGACACCACTTAATTTGTGACTTGTGAAAAGAGACTATATTTCTCTTTGATGAAGTGCAATGGTTTACAAATCATGCAAATTAAGATAAAAATAAAAAAGGAAGTACACTAAAGAACTGACTTTCTGTTGTTAAGAAGTGTACCACGACTGCTTAACACTGCACGCACCCTGTTTAATTCTCAATAAACATGTTTATTCCTTCTACAGCAGCATTCACCTCAACTTTCAAGTAATTTTCCACTGTAACAGTGTCCAACAATCTTTTGTCATATACATTACTAACATCTGGCACCTATAAAAAAATGTGTGTTGTTTCTACAGACGAGGTTACATGGGAATGTTGCCCATCCATGTTGCCGCCCTCAATGGCTATGTTGACTGTGTAAATAAACTTAGATCATCTATGCCTGCCTTTGATATCAACATCCCCGATGATGCTCGGAGAACCTGTCTACATGGAGCAGCTTGTAGTGGGTAGGTGAACCCATCTATTTTCACGATGTATCATTATTATTGTTTTATAACCAAAATAAGTTGCATCATTATACTGAGCTACTGGTAATCCTTACTTCTTCAATTTGCTCTCTGTTGTTTCTGAGTCTTGTAAATATGTTCCCCTTTACTTACCCAAACAGCCATCCAGAATAAGCGGGCTCTATTAACAATTAAACTTCTGAACCAGGCAAGTTTCATTTAATGAACTCAAGAGTCACAGAAAGTGTTTTGCTTTGAAATGTTGATGGTTTCAGTATTGTTTGAAGACATTTTTATTCTCTTAAAAATTTTACTTTTTGTTTATTGATAGGTTTCTGATTTTGATAACTCTGTAGAAGTGGTTATAATTACATATTATTTTTGTTTTTTCAGGAAGGTTGAATGTGTTGAATACTTGTTGAATGAGGGAGGCAACCTGTCTCTACAAGACGCTGATGGAAGGTACAAAATTTTAGTTGAAGTTAACACTCTCTCAACTTGTTAAAGTTATTTATCCTGCGTTGTAGCGAATTTGAAACAAATGAAAAAAAGTAAATCACTGTGGCTACGTATCATACTTGCTGTTTGAAGAAGAATAAAACTAGTTGGTAAAATTAGATTTGAATTAATTTGTTTTTAGATTTAATAAAAATGCGGTCAAAGCAAGGGCCTCTCTTAAATGCAGTGGGAGGAACCCCGCACAGAGGGAGCAGCTGTGGAAAAAGGCCTCGCTCCAACTTTTTTAATTTTAAAAGGCACAGTCTTGATTCTAATGCATGGAACTGAATACACTTAAGACACAGGGCAACTCGAATTCCAATTTCATACTGTTTTAAAAAAAAATGAAAAGAACATGCAAAAACCCCAGAAACGATATACAGTAAGTAATCAGCTATTTCACTAAGATCGAGTGTGAAACTCCCCTCCTGCTTTGTTACATTTACTTTGTGATCTCCATAGCTCTCTTTTATACTTTTTTGTCAACCAAGGATCCTGTTGAAAAAAAAATAACCATCATAGGCGGACACTTTTGCACTGGCCTTTGAAATGACTTATTATGTCAAGTAGAGTATCAGACTTTATAAAAATAAATTTAAAAAAGTATAACAATATTTTTCTGGATTTTTTCCCCAGGACTCCTCTACACTATGCAGCCGCCCATTGCCACTTTCAGAATGTCCTCATTTTGCTAACAGCCGGGAGTGATGTGAATGTGACCGACCGCCGAGGGTGCACTCCCCTACACTATGCTGCCTCAAATGACATTGATGCTAAGTATGCTCATCTTACTGCTTTGCATCTTTTTTGGTACTTAATCACCCTGCAGAATCCCACAACATTTTATGTGGTCTCTGAGTCTTTTTTTTTGTCTGCTCAGGATTTGTTTTTCGTTCAGAGGTGGCCTTGTGAGCTGGTCACTTTTTCAGGTACTAGGTATTTTGAGTATTGTTAAAGCGGTCTTGCTGGTGTGTTATAATGATATGCTATGTTTGACCACAATCAAGTTCCTGAGTACTGTTAAACTTTAATGATGAGTGGGGAGAGGAGTTTGTAATTTTAATTAATTTTGCCAAGGACTTAAGAATTTGTATTCATGAACAGTGTATGTTGATTTATAAAGAGTCAAAAAAATTCGTTTTTATAACTTTCTTTGAAAAGGACTTCAGTGTTTTGTTTTTTTGAATACAGTAGTTTCTGTTTTAAGTTTATTATTTTTATGAAAGGTTGCATAAACATTTCTGTTTGTTGATCTTGGGAGTCTGGATGTGTGTATGTTGTAAAAGGCTCTGTAGCTTTTATCAGTTGCAAGATGATCTTCTCTTGTTGCTGAGAGTTTTGCACTGGGCTTCATTCTTCTATCACATCTGATTTTATAGGTAGGCAGGTTGTAAATGTGCTAACAGGCCAAACAGCTTTCTTGCTGTTCCAAGAAACTGTAAAACTCCTTGAAACAAGAATGCCAGCAAAAAGATATGTTGGCCAAGCAAAAATGATTGAAGAAACGTTGGATGGACTTTGTAAAAGAAGAATGTGAACTCATATGGCTATGGATTTACGTGATATACACTTGTGCTTATATGACTGCTCAAAGTTAAAAAGGAGTGTGAGATCTTTCAGTAAGTTTTACACTCTCTCTATATACACATGAGTTCTCAAAGTAAAAGAATGATACAACATTGTACAGTTAAGTCTTTACTCTGTATATGCCTGTGACTATGTGACTGCTCTAGCTCTCAAGATCAACTGTCTTAATGATTTCCTCTGTGCATGTGTTGTGCATGTCGTGTTCCATGTCAGGGGTGGCAGAATGCTTGGTCTTGTTCACAGGGTGGTGGAACTCTTGCTACACCACGACGCTCGCCCGGGCATCCGAGATGATGATGGCTACAACGCAGTTCACTATGCAGCCCTCAAAGGGCACAAACTCTCCTTGGAAATGGTAAGAGTTCTAATGATACAGTTCTGTTTCATTGTTTATTCAAATGTTAGCTGATTCCGTCCATTCAGCCGCTGACACCGGCTCTGAGTTTTTGCGCTGCATCCATTCGACCGCTGTGAGCGGCTCAACGAAGTCCGAGCGAAATCCGAAACAAATGTGCACTTTTTAACATAGTTTCTACTTTTTAAGTTGTCGAAAGGAAGTAGAACCAGTAAACAAACCTAACCTCAATCTCTGAGCGCCAATATCGATTGAAACTCCGTGAAATTCTTGCAAAAATCGTTGTTTTGTTGTCGCTATGTAGGCTAGATCTAAGGGTAAATAACACGGAGCCTGGTATAAGAAAAAGGCCCTTCAAAGAAAAATATTCAACTAAATTTGTGAAATTCTTGCATAAATGTGTTTTGTGTTGATTCCTATGGATTATAAGGACTTGTAGAGCTGAGAAAATGCGGTAAGTCGAAATTTTCGAAGAGGTGTTGCGCAATTTTTTTTTTCC